ATGATTGCTCTTGCAACGTATGATTGTCCGTAATGGACATGTTTGATCACTCGCCTTAATGGAATGGAGTCCATGATTGCTGACCGTTTCCCAGTCAATAGAGATTATCCATGGAAGCCTCAACTCTTGTATCTACAACCAATGCAAGGCCAATATTAAGATTGCTAGTCAACTCCAAACCGTGATTCAAATGTTACAGCCGCATCCACCTCCACACCTGAATATTGAATTGTTTATGGTTTTTTTTTCGGTTGCTTTCTATTTTAATCTTTGTTCCTCTTTATGTGTATTAAGTATATTAGATATTATATATTCTCATTTTAGTGTTTTTCTGTTTTATAGCTTTGTTAATTTCCAACACCCGGCTCCTTCCGTATCTTTTCCTTCAAACTTATTGTATTTTTTAATACAATGATGGTAATGGTTCCTACACATTCGTATTCTTTTACATTATTGATAATATGATAAGTTTGGGAAATTGCTTTAAAGCTCATTAAGGACAATGTCCTAGATTAAGTTGGGGGAAGGGAAATTTTAGTTAAAATTTTTATTTTTTCTGTTTCATTAGTCTAACATGGTTGGAATAATAATGAGTAAGTTGAAAATTTATCATAATTCATTAACTTGCAATGAATTTAGTTGTTCTTCGAAGTTAATTTTCTTCGAAGTTAATTATTTTTAGCTTAAATTTTAACTTTTGACTTAACATAATTCCTTGGTTTAACTATTTGTTTCTAAGATTGTAAACACTAAATCTTTTGTGAATTCTATGATATATAGATGTGTTTTATTCAAAATTTATTTAACATTGACATTCCTAGAACAAATTAGAATTTTCTTTAAGATAAAATTTTAAATGCTTACATTTAGAAAGAGATAATTTAGGCATTCTTTGTTAAACCCCTTATTCAGCCTAGGCCACCTAAAGTATGACCTTTCCAACCAATTCGAAGCCTATAAACCATAAAATTTTCTTGTTCACCCTTATTAAACCTATCCATTAAACCAAATTCAATTCTTACCCTGAGTGCAATAATGTATAATTGAAGGATTTGATTTTTATTAAAACATAGCAACAAAAGAGAGAAAATTCCATTAATACTAGTAAGTGAAGCAAGTAGAAAAAAAAAACTCAAAGAGAAACACCACATAAAAAAAGCAAACAATTAAGAATTCAAGTTTGGGGAATTAAAGCAAGAAAGAAATTATCAAAAAGTGTTATGAAGAGACCTTGCCAAAAGTATCTCTAATTTTTAGCTAGTGAAGAACTTCAAGTTAATCTCCCTTTACAAATAAAAATTTTGTTTTCAATACAAATGAAAATCTTGATATTATGCATTCTTTGCACTTTTGTCTACAATGTTATCCTTTTCTTTATTAGCTAAGGTTATATCCCTAAAACCCCATTACAACCTAAATAAAGACCTTTTGATTTTTTTTTAAATTGTATACATTTCAATTGTAGAGAAGGGATGACTAATTTTGCCTATGGGAATGTTGAACTTATATTGTTAAACATCTTATTTAAAGGTTAAATATTTTTTGTAGAAATTCATATTCTATTTGTCATGACTAAATTTTGCCTTGGGAATGTTTGGAAACTTATATTTTGTTAAAACCATCTTATTTTAAAGGTTAAATATTTTTCTTGTAGAAATTCATATTCCTATTTTGTCATAGTTGAATTAAATTATTGGTGTTTGAAAATGTTCCTTACACTTATGATTAAATAAAGGAATGTGTTTTTATTGAAAATGGTGAATTTTTTGCGTAATAAATTATTGGTGTTGAAAATCTTATTAACTTATGATTAAATAAAGGAATGTGTTTTATTGAAAATTGAATTTTTGCTAGAATATAATTAGCATAGCGAACATTTGAATTATTCTCATTAATGATTTTTTATACTCTTGAAATTGTGAATAATTATCCCCAACCATATTAAGGTAGCTTTGTTAGTCTGTTTAGCTTGTATTTTTTCTTTAGTTTTTAGTTTTGTTGCTTGAGGACAAACAATGGTTTAAGTTTGGAAAATTTTGATAGTTTTAATATAGTTCATATTAGGATTTTTTTTTAGCATTTTTATTACTTATTCAGTTTTTATTTCCAGTTTTATTTATGTTTTTGTGCAGAGCTTTCTTGAATCATAATCCACTTGATCTTAAGTAAATTTGTAGGGTTTTGGCACAGAAAAGAGCAAAATAAAGCAAAACACTCAGACTCTAGCATGCCCTGCCCATGCACATCAGCACGCCTGTCCTGGACTCAAGAAAAATCAAGAGGAGACTCAGACTGTAGCACGCCCAGATCGTGCTATTTGGCACGCCCATGCCTAAAGAGGGCACGCCCATGATGCATTTCATCCTGGAGACTCAGAGCTAGCACACCCTAGCCGTGCTATGGGGCACGCCTGTGCCATAGATTCTTCTCTAGACGTGCCTCGCTAGTTGGGGCGACGTCCTGTTGCCATTAGATTCTTCCTCTAGCCGTTGCCGCCTGCAGCAGCCCATGTTGAATCCATCCCTTAGAACTCAGGCTCTAGCACACCGGCAACCCGTTGCCGCATTAGTGCGGAACTGCCCGGGTCTGCTTACGAATTTAGTGATGTTCCTTAAGTCTAGAACAGTTTCTCCCGATATACTTGATGAACGCCAACCAGGCCTCTCGTGATCACTTACATGGCCCACCTCAGTACTTTCCCTAACCTAACAAATCAAGATCTAATCTTATTTAGGTAGATGGAGAAGAGTCCTTAATGAGAAGAGGAATCTCCAAAGCCATCACAACAGTTTCGTGACCTACTTCGCACAAAAAGACATATCCTTACTTAATGAAGGACTATCTATTTCCTAAACGGGAATCAGATCTTTCTCCCAGGAACAAACTCAAACAATATAACTAAACGAACGAGCAGAGCCATTCATTTGTACGGAGATTTTGCAAGTTTTGGATTTAGTTTTTGTTCTATTGTTTCTCTCTCTCCCAAGACTTCAATAACATTTCAAGATTTTGTTGCAAGGATTCAAGGATTTGGCCGTCTAGAATTAATTAGTTGACTTAGATTTTTATCTTACTCAAGCTCTTAATCTATGTTTATTACTTTTCATTAATTCACAATTTCGGATATGGAACTTTTTATCAAGTATTATTGTAGTTTTATTTAATATACCTAATATCGAACTAAACTCTTGATACTAGGGATTTTGATTATAGAGCTTAAACTCTTCTTTTTCCAATTTTTTAATATGTAGATTTGTTTTCATTTGTTTTCAATAGCCTATAACATTTGTTATTAAATTAATGCTTTTCCAGGCCATCAGTTTCTCGCCCCTGGATTGAATTTTATTTTCATTAATCTACTATTCGGGATAAGGGTTTTTTGATGATGGAAAAAGGTAATAATTACATGAGAATAAAATTTCGATGGGGGAAACTATATGGTTCGGCTCATGGGGAGTTTTTCAACGTTAAATGACCCTTAGATTATAAAATTCACAAAACAAACAATTAAACTTAATGATCTTTATTTATGTTTTTGATTTGTGCTTATTTAGAAGATAGGTAATTAAGACCGGGGTTAAATGGCTAGACAAGTACATCGGGAGACGGGGCCCTTGTTAGTAATGCTTCCAGGCAAAGTTTCTCCCCTGGATTGATTTATTTCATTAATCACTATCGGGATAAGGGTTTTTGATATGAAAAAGGTAATAAATTACATGAGAATAATAATTTGATGGGGAAACTATATGGTTCGGCTCATGGGAGTTTTCATACGTTAATGACCTTAGATTATAAATTCACAAAACAAACAATTAAACTTAATGATTTAATTTATGTTTGATTGTGCTATTAGAAGATAGGTAATTAGACCGGGTTAAAATGGCTAACAATACATCGGGAGAGCTTGTTAGTGAATTTAGGGTTGTTTTCCCTACTTGATTAATAAACTAATAAAATAAATTGGATAAAATTAAGTGAAGTCAAAATCCCTAGTAGCTTTTAATCCTTGATTCTTTTAATCAAAAATGGCCTTGCTTCATTTCTTCTTACTCTCTTTTATTTACTGAAGTTAGTTTTTAAATATAATTCCTCTTATTGCTGTTTAAATAATAGTAGGTTAACATAATTTTGGTACTTGGTATACAATCCATGTGTAAACGATATTCTTCTCATTCTATATTACTTGTTGCGATTTCGTATACTTGCGAAAATCACTATCATAATTTATTAGAGCTCCACAGTTGTTTTTTACTTGGGTTGTAACATTTAAATGATTGGATACTGGAATGTTTAATTTTATTTGTAAACTATTTATGTAGTTAATCGCATTGAACCCAATGGATCCATGAGATATGTTGTTGAATATTCAAAATTACCTAGCAACCATATTACTTGAGATTACTTGAGATTATTAATAATAAGCCTAACATCGTGGTTGTGAACAATGTAGTTGATCCATTTCAATTTAAGGCTTACTACGGCCTAAGATCGTGGTTGTGAACAGTGTAGTTGATCCATTTCATATAAATATAAAAATACATGTATTGAAAAACACTAGATTTTGAAATAAAAGCTAAATATAAAAATAATATAGTTTTATTATGTAACTTTTACTAACCTAAAACTAATTTTGAAAAAACTTTAAATATGGACTTCTACAAATTTTTTTTTTTTTTATTACTAGAAGATGTAATCCCCTCGGGCCACAAAATGTAAAGGTTTTTTTGTCCTCCAGCAAAGTGGGATTATCGCAAATTGATCTTGTATTTTTACTTTATAGAAATCGTATTTTATGAACATTATGAATAACATTTAATTTGGCCTCTAAACTTGTCGGCGTATACAATTTATCTAAATTGAGCTTTTGAATCATTTTTTATGGTACATTCGCTTAGAAGTTAAATATGAAACGTCTTTTCAACTAGCCAATACCTTTTCTAGAATAATAACAATAATAATAACTAGTAACTTGATTTTTGACAAACAAGTTTGGAGAAAAATTGAGCATTATTCCTAAAAATTATATTAAAAAGTTATATTCGATTAATTAACATTAATTTTTTTTACAGAAACTAATATTAGCAATAACATTGGAATTGAATTAATTAATTCATTTGGAGAAGTATTAGAAGGAAAGTGATCTAGTGAAGACCTTTCTCCACGCCTTCAAGCTTAGAGATCGAGCCTTCATTAGGGCAAAAGAAGGCTTAGAAGGGGCAGATGGCTGTGATTGTTCCAATAATTGAATATTGTCTTCTTCTGGACTCCAAAAACGAGCTTCTTTTCTCTTGCTTTTCATTGTATATAGCACATCATATTTGTTGCATATTCCCCAAACTGTCACCTTCTGCTGGTAGTAATCTACATTTACAGAATAAATTCCTGCCAAAAAATAATCCACATGTTCAAATTCATTTCTCTCGTTCTCTTTCCATTTTCTTCTCTCTCCAAATTATTGGTAGGTTCAAAATTCATCAACTACATGTTACCCATATTTCTTCAATCAAACAGCAATAAATATTATTCACACAAATAATAATTTTAGATATCAAATACTTACATGTGCAAGCCCACAAAAAAATTGAAATGATGGGTCAATAATTACATGTGCAAGCCCTTATTTCATTTCTCTTTTTTTATTCAATGGACCAACATGTCTTAGTGTATGTTTGGCAAGCCCATGTTTAATTTGTGGGTCCCTTGCTCCCCCGGTCCAAAGTTTACAAGAGATGAGTACAAATACTGGTTTTTTGTCCCTTAAACCCAAAATACTTGTGGAGAAATAGATTTTGTTTTTGGTTAATTTTAACTCCAAATCAGGTTTACTTTACAATCTTATAATTATGAAAATAGCTCTAGTTTGAGTAATTATGATAAATCATCTTTACAAAACATCAAATATTAAATTCAAAAATAAATATTTGATGCTACATTTTATAATTTCAAAATTGAACTTAATATTATTTTTAAAAAATTTATTGCATGCTTGAAATCATCTTATAAAAACCAATAAATTTTTGTGTAATTATATTGGAATTGATTACAAGACTCCAATTCTATCAAGTTTAAAACTCAAATAATCTCTTCAAAAAGAAAAACTAATAGAAAATAATTTTATAAAGGATTAAATATGATTTTTATGATGCATTTTTATATCTAAAGATATAATTAGAATAATCTAATCAATATATAAAAAGGGGAATCCCCAAATTATATGATAAAAATAGAAAGAGAATTTAGAAATTAGTGATGATAATAATTTTTTCACCTGTGTATTTGATAGTTAAAATTTGTATTTGCCAACATTTACAATACATATATACATGGAAATGGAATGAATAAGCAAAGCAAATTTTAAGATTGTAATAAATGAAATCTAGTAATTATTAATATGTTACCTTTGAGATGGGAAAGGGTCTTCTTTACTTTCCTCTCACAGCCATAAGAATAGAGAGGGACCATCATCTCCACATACTGTGCCTCTACATTATTCTTGGAAGCTGGAACAATTTGCATATTTGCCATTTGAAGAGTTGATTCTTTAGATGATAACTAACTACTGTATATATTAATTATTGGTTTCTGTGAAGTTATTTGCAACTTCTGAATACAACTTGCTTGGCTGATCAATTTATATAGGATAGGATATGTTTTTTTTTTTCTTTTTTGAAGCTTTTATATAGAATATATAAATTATATATATACCCATTGGTTAAATGTGTTGGGTTTGATCCTGGATTCCCCTGAAAAAGAAGGTTATCTAGTTTTAGTGAGCCTTTTAGATAGCTTTTTCACTTTTGCTTCTTTTAAGTTCCTTTCCATTTTCTTGAAGTCATTGTTTGTGCTTTACCATTCATGGCGGCTTCTGTTGATTAGTTTGGGAGGTTAATGTTATAAAGATGCTTTTTTTTTTTTTTTCAAGAATAACATTAGAACTTAAGATTTTTCAACTATGATATTATTACAATTTTTTTATCGCAAAATTAATTCATTTTATTGTTTTAAACCTAGAAAAAACTTTGCTTATTCAAAAAATTATACCCAAGCCATAATTAAGGTTTTCACTTACACTCATACTAACCTAGACAAGCTAAGTGAAAAAAACCTAGAGAACCTCAACATTCATAGCTTAGACACTCATTACAAATTACATTTCGTAAATGGTAATAAAACTTAATTTAATGTAAAAAAATATTTTTAAATATTATACTGTAAACATTTTTTATTATGTTCCTTTATATTTCACCAATATTTTTTAAATATTTGAATTAAATCATTCTATATTTAAAAAAATAAAAAATTATTAATATATATAAATGATTTGATACCAAAAGTTGAATTTGTGAAACATAATCTATCAATTGAGGTAAGAGGCTTAAAATTATAAAATTCATGGGTTTTTGGGTAGGGATTGATTAGGGTAGATGAGTTGGATGAGTGTAAAGATGCGTCAGCTGAATGTGTTTATTAAAGAAAATGATAGTGCCTTTTCTTGGTATCTCCTTTTGATGAGATAAGAGTGTCCCACAATGTATTTGGGCAGCATGTGGGTTGTTTACCCTATCGATGAAGCTGCTTTTTGGAAGTTTGGAACTAATTAAGGAAACGAAACTTAATTAATCTTTGTCGTATCATCAAGTAATCAATTCCGCTAATGCTACTCAACGAATCCATCGTCATTTTATGCGTCCTCTTATGTATTGATAATACCGCCATGCACATGCACGCGTTAATTAATCATTTCTTTACTCCATTTAGCTTCTTAATTAACAATGGACACCTTACCTTCTTCCCATAAACACATACTACGTTTCAAAAATGAAATACAATAGAATAATAAGAAATGAAAAAAAAAAATGAAATGTATTGAAATGGAAATGGGAATAAGTATCCATATTCCTATATTTGGTACCTAGCATGAATTAGTAATATCAACGTTTGAGGAAAAAGAATTCTTCGTTTATTCATTGAGGAAATATTACAATTCAATCTATATCCAAACTTGTTTAACCAATAAATACAATAGGTCTAACAAACTAACTACCATTGACAGCTAATCAAAAATGCAATTACACCTAACTAAGAATAATTGGTTTTGGCGCTATTTTCTGTTTCGTTTTCTGATTTTTGTTCACGCGTCAGTTTGCTTGTTTTACAAGTTGACTATGCTAAGATCACCCACAAGCTAGAGAATAGGTGTTTATCATTCTCAGATTAAGAATTAAGGCTTGAAAATTTGGGGCAGGTAGTGTTTTTGCAAAAATATCAATAGTCTGGGCAATAGAGGAGATAGGCAAAAGCTTGATAAGTCCAAAATGAATCTTCTCGGGTACTAAGTGGCAGTCAAATTCAATGTGCTTAGTGCGTTCATGAAAGATTGGGTTAGCAGCTAGCTGTAAAGCAGATTGTTATCACAAAAAAGTAATGACGACTGAGAATGAAGCACATAAAGATCAATAAGCAAATACTTGAGCCATTATATTTCACAAGTTGTAGAGGTCAATGCTCTATATTCTGCCTGTGAAGATGATCAAGAAATAATATTTGGCTTTTGGCTTTCCAACAAATTAAAGAAGAGCCAAGAAAAATGCAAAAACCAGTGATTGACTTTCTTGTAACTCAACACCCTGCCCAATCAGAGTCACTAAATGCTTTGAGCTGAAAATCTAATTGTGCAGGAAAGATAAACTAGCTCTTGGTGCAGCCTTAATGTGCCTTAAAACTTGATTAGTCGATTATAAATGAATTGTGGTTGGTTGGTCTAGAATTTAACTAAGATGTTAGACTACGAAACTTCTGTCTAGTCTAGTTGATGTAAGATAGAGAAGCTTACCAACAAATCTTATGTAAGCAGTAATATTAACAACAGGAATACTTTGAGAAACTTTGGATCTGGAATCCATGGGTGTTGCAACTAGTTTAGATGCTAAGAAACCAACATCTGAAAGTATATCAAGAGCATATTTGCTCTAAGATAATGAAATTCTAGATGATGATCTAGCCACTTCAACCCCAAGAAAAAATTTGAGATGACCTAAATCTTTAATTTTAAACTTAACATCTAAGAATTGCTTCACATAATTAATCTCAAAAATACTTGTGCCGGCCAAAATTATGTCATCAACATATACCCTATTATTTTAGGAGTTCTCTGTGGGTCCCGAATGTGTATGGCACAACCCAAGAGGGGGTGAATTGAGTTTTCTAAAAATATTTTAGAATTTAAAAACAAAATATCAAATTCTATAATAAGATGTTATACTAGCGAAACTGTCTTGTCTATGTTCATAGTTGAGTGTAAGGATTAAGAGCACTTTACCAACAGAATCTTATGTAAGCAGTAATATTAACACAGGGCAATACTTTGAGAAATTCTGATATGCGAATCCATGTGGGAAGTGTATATGTTTATAGCTACCAAACTAGTTTAGATGCTAACGAAACCAACACATCTGAAAGATATTATCATAGGAATATCATTTTGGGCTCTAAACGCTAATGAATTCTATGAGATGATGATCTAGCCACTTCAACCCCAAGAAAAAATTTTTGAGCATGACCTTAAATCTTTTAATTTTATTACAACTTAACATACTAAAAGCATTAGCTGGTCCACATAATTAATGCTTCAAAAATACTGTGCCGGGCCCAAATTAATGTCATCAAATATACCCCTTAATTATTATTTAGGAGTTTCTCTGTGAAGGATCGGTCCATCATTCGTTAATGTACTTGATAATGTTCACAACCAAATGAGGTAGGAGTGATATTGTGAAGTTTTCTAAAATAGTAGGTCTTATTAAGAATTTAAAAAGACAACCTAATATCAATTTCTAGAGTCTGACAGCGATTGCAAAAAAATCAAAGAACTATGAGAAAAGTTTAGTGGATCTTAGATACTTCCTCACAATGTTTCTATGTAGAAAAGACTATGCAAGTGCAGTAATTGATTTAGACTGCTTACCAATGTCTTATTCAATATTAGAACTTTTTTATGACGGCGCGCTTAATATAGTAATTTACGACTTCACTTACTATATAGGTCTCTAGAAAATTCATACTGAACTGTGTGGGAGACCAGTTATTGAAATTTAATACAACTCTTCAGACATTCTTAACCATGTGCATTTAGTACCAGATTAGAAACAGATTAGAAACCCAAGTAGTGAAATATACTGTAAATAGAAGAACTTTTTAGAACTTGGTATATTCACTTATCAGAATTCCAAAGTTCTAATATTCAGAAAAGATAAGACTTAATCCAGTTTTAGAACATCAAACTAATAACCAATTTAGCATTTCTAAAATATAAACAAGAGTGTAAGTAAAGCAATATCAAACGAAACTTCAGATATCAAAAAGATCAACACATTGATTTATAGTGGTTCGATACTAACTCGCCTACATCCACTCCCCAAGACTCATCTTGAGATTCTCAACTATGTTATCTCTTTTCAAGGGTACGAGACAAACCAACAGTACAAGGTCCTCTTTTTCAAAGGTACGAGAACAAACCAACAGGTACATAGGATAGATCAATCACCTAGATTCTACGCCTTTTATCCACTAAGATTTTCTAAGGTTCTAGTTAACGCTCAACCCTTTGCTGTTTTTGGCAAAGAGTACAGAAACTCATTCAGGCATTAGAATCTCAACACAAGGAAAGGTCGCTTGATAAGCGCTTTCAACAATAGCTTCTAAACGCTAAGGCTATTAGCACAAATGTTATGTCAAAAATAAAAAATCTGTCTACTAAAGATTATCAGAATCTAAATAGACAGAAAGAAATGCACATTGTAAGCACTAGGAAAAACAGTTTTTCAGATTATTGCCAAAAATCGTTTAGAACACAGAACGGCATTTTTCAAAGCAGTGATTGTAAAAATTCTTTTTCTCTTTTAAAAGATAAAATGTGAATGTGTAAAGATGAAAAGAAAATGGAGGGTTAACGAGAAGTAAGTTTTTTGGGAGATAAAGGATGTGATCATAGGGAAGAAACTCTTAAAAACAAAAAACTCTTTCTCCTCCACATTCAAAACGTGAAAGCTCCTATTGTATAGAGAGATAATGTAGTCTCGTTTTTGGAAAAAGAGAATATTTCATTTTGAAATCAAAGAAGGAAATATCTTCTTTTTATTTAGAAGATACAAAAATCTTAGTTACCAAAAATTTATCTTATCCTTTTGGTAAGAGAATAAAATACGATTTTACTTTCCTTTAAACAAAAAAATTTTCGGTAGCATTTTATTTTGGAAAATATTTTTCGAAAAGATACTACCTACTAAAAACGAAAAGATTTAATCCTTCTTCGTTTTAGGTAAGAGAATAAAAAAAATCCTTTAGATCTTCAAAGGGAATTTCTGAAAAAGAAAGTGTATGATTTATTACTAAAATCATATAGAGATAAAATCTCTTTAGTTTTAGGTAATTAAATCATTTCGATTCTTAAAGCATATTTTCGAAAACAAAATTTTTACGAAAGAAATTATTTTGAAGAATAGTTTTGCATGAGAGAAAAATTAGTTTTATGTCGGATATCTTCACACACAATGTAGGACTTGCCTTGTACGTTTTCTTTCCATAAGAAATTCTGCATAAAATAATATTAGCACAAATAATATAATTTTATTTTATTTGTTTTTAATCATCAAAATC